AATTATCTTGGTTGATTATTTGTCATGAGTTAGGGTTCGGGTTTAAAAATATGAAAACGAAGTTCAATTTAATTAGTACGGATGAATACTGTAACAAATATAAATTTATATCACAATATTGCTGAAAACAGAAATTGTGAAAAAAAAATTGTCACGGATTTATCTCGATCGTCAATTTGCAAATGCTTACATAGTCACGACTTGAATATAATCGTATATACAAATTAGATATTTATTTTTAACTACGTAGATTTATACCGCGCTATTTGCTAAACATTCTTGCTGTGCTATTAACATGTAGGAAAGTCATTTTGTGCACAATTCAAATGAAATATGTAATAGAAGGTTGCTTGTCATGTGTCAGAAAAACACCAATAAGTTTCAAATAATTGTATGTCCACCCATCATTCATTTTTCAATAACAACTACGTATATCTGTACTGGTATATTACGAATGTATTCATAAGAACATATTTATATATGTATGTAGTCCATGCATATTTTATATCTATAGATCCAAAATTAGAAATATAGATAGCTAGGCTGCTGTTCACAATGCCTAGACGCACGGCAATACATAATGCATGCCAAACCCTAGCCTAGCGTATATATACGTCACACTCAAAATCATGTACATATTGCATATAATGTGTATATATACATGATAATGCATACATATGACATAAGTGGGTATGTACTATATTAAGAAAATGAGCATGTATATATAATAAGGCAAACTAGTAGTTGAGATAGCTAGCATTTTCCTCATCTCCGTAATTGCTGACTTTTGATTTGTTTCTCAAAAATAAAAGTTTTGAAAATCGCATGGTGGTCTTTAGTCGACACTCAACTGATTTCAATAAGAGAGCTAATAAATGTGATGGGATTATATTCGTAAGTACATTCATATTCACGTGTGTGTGACTGTGTGTGTGATGGAGAGATTATATTTAGGTCAAAGCAATGGAGAGATGCATATGATCAGGATAATAATTTGGTTAGCAAAAAAAAAATAATAATAATTTACGCGTAGTATGCTTACATTTGGAGAAAATAACACTAATCAATGTTTTTTCTATGTAATTAATTAGTATTTAACAATTTATACTTTTTAGTTACTTGCTACTTCTGTTTTAAATTAGCTTTGTTAACCAA